AGTTTTTGCCCTGCTGGGCCCCAAACCCCCCCGTGGCACCCCAAATCCTCACTCACCATCAGCACACGGAGAGCCCGGGGCTGGCAGAGGCTCGGGAGACGCTGCGGAGGGCTCAGGAGCTGCCCTGGCCTGGCCTGGCACGGGCACCGGGCAGCTGCTGGCACCCGGGGCACCCAGGGGAGCACCCAGGGCAGCACCCAGGGGAGCAGCCAGGGCACCTGGGGCATCACTCAGGGCACCCGGGGCACCCAGGGGAGCACCCAGGGCAGCACCCAGGGCACCCGGGGCAGCACTCAGGGCACCCGGGGCATCCAGGGGAGCACCCAGGGGAGCAGCCAGGGCAGCACCCAGGGCACCTGGGGCATCACTCAGGGGAGCACCCAGGGCACCTGGGGCATCACTCAGGGCACCTGGGGCACCCAGGGCACCCGGGGCAGCACCCAGGGGAGCAGCCAGGGCACCTGGGGCAGCACCCGGGGCACCCAGGGCACCTGGGGCATCACTCAGGGCACCTGGGGCAGCACCTGGAGCACCCAGGGCACCTGGGACAGCACCCAAGGGAGCACCCAGGGCACCTGGGGCATCACTCAGGGCACCCGGGGCAGCACCTGGAGCACCCAGGGCACCTGGGGTAGCACCCAGGGGAGCACCCAGGGCACCTGGGGCATCACTCAGGGCACCCAGGGCACTCAGGGCACCTGGGGCAGCACCTGGAGCACCCAGGGCACCTGGGGCAGCACCCAAGGGAGCACCCAGGGCACCTGGGGCATCACTCAGGGCACCTGGGGCAGCACCTGGAGCACCCAGGGCACCTGGGGTAGCACCTGGAGCACCCAGGGCACCTGGGACAGCACCCAAGGGAGCACCCAGGGCACCTGGGGCATCACTCAGGGCACCCAGGGCAGCACCTGGAGCACCCAGGGCACCTGGGGTAGCACCCAGGGGAGCACCCAGGGCATCACCTGGAGCAGCACCTGGGGCAGCACCCAGGGGAGCACCTGGGGCAGCACCCAGGGCACCTGGGGCACCCAGGGCAGCACCCGGGGGAGCACCCAGAGCACCTGGAGCAGCACCCAGGGGGGCACCCAGGGCAGCACCCGGGGCCCGGGCTGGCCCTGGCTGCTTCAGCACCGTCCCCGCTGAGAGCAGGGTCTGGGTGGCCCTGCTGGCCCTCCTCACCCTCCTGGCCCTGCTGGCACGGGGAGGGGCAGTGCCAGGCTTCTTTTTCCTCTTGAAAAGTCTCCTTTTGATGCTGGCCACCCTCCGGGCATAGAGCAGGGCCCGCAGGGACTCTGGGGCTGCTTCCTCCACGGGCTGGCTGCTCCTCCTCTGCACCTCGGAGAGCCGCAGCCTGTAGTACTTGTACTCCAGGCTGTCCTCGTCACACAGGAACCTGGCAAACAGAAAAGAAATGAGAAATCTGCTGAAAATCTCCATTTTTACAGCCCCAGCCTGTAGTACTTGTACTCCAGGCTGTCCTCGTCACACAGGAACCTGGCAAACAGAAATGAGAAATCTGCTGAAAATCTCCATTTTTACAGCCCCAGCCTGTAGTACTTGTACTCCAGGCTCTCCTCGTCACACAGGAACCTGGCAAACAGAAAACAAATGAGAAATCTGCTGAAAATCTCCATTTCTACAGCCCCAGCCTGTAGTACTTGTACTCCAGGCTGTCCTCGTCACACAGGAACCTGGCAAACAGAAAACAAAGGAGAAATCTGCTCAAAATCTCATTTTTTACAGCCCCAGCCAGTAGTACTTGTACTCCAGGCTGTCCTCGTCACACAGGAACCTGGCAAACAGAAAACAAATGAGAAATCTGCTCAAAATCTCCATTTCTACAGCCTCAGCCTGTGAGATTTGTAGTCCAGGCTGACTTCGTCACACAGGAACCTGGGAAACAGAAAAGAAATGAGAAATCTGCTCAAAATCTCAATTTTTACAGCCCCAGCCTAGTGAGATTTGTACTCCACGCTCTCCTCCTTGGACAGGAACCTGGGAAACACAGAAAAGGGAGAAATCTGCTGAAAATCTC